TTCATACTGAGCGGTAGCCATATGTTCACGGTCTTCCAGGATGTGCACCTCATACCTGCGCTCAACAGTATTTGCCAATATTCAAGACCATAATGAAAGCTATACCTGCGGAATCTCTCAGATAATCCCCCTACACTCCCTAGAGGGACTGCTACAATTCCTATGTATCCCTTTTTAGGGCCCCCCTAGTTTAAGAAACCCCTAGCGCGCTGCCTGAAGATAGTTTCTCCAGGGGCCGGGGAGAGGGCCCAGGTCAGCTCGGGGGGACGTGGAGCCTGGCTCAGCTTGGGAATTGGGGATTTGGGTTGTTAGGGTTTAAGGTTTTAGGGTAAAGGGTTTAAGGTTTGGGCGCCCGCATTTCAGGAGTCCAGAAAGATGAGGATTGTAAGCTGTGGGCCCCTATCCCTATGAAGGATTCTGGAGGGGTTCCCTTGAGAAACTCCCATTTTGACGAGTATAACATATGGTAGATGATGAAAATGCAGAAGACCGTACACTCACAAGAAGACAGGAACTTTTCAGGACTACCACTGGACAATGCCAATGCAAATCAAGCCAAGTTCGGGCAACTATTGCCCAGGTACGTGACAAAACTGCAGGTGCTTTTGGAAAAATCGTGATGCTCACCAAATTGTCCGACAGAGAACCAACAGAGATTCAATCCGGCCACAAGGGCGCAAGGTTTCCCCGTTGTCCGCTTTATTACTCGGACTTGGTGGTTTCCCAAAATGAGGGGACCCCAATATAGACCATAAAACAGGGACCCCCAAATATGGTACCCCTACTTTTGGGAAACCCCCACTTTGCGCAGAGAGCCTCATGCTCGGAACACAAAGTTAAACTGTTTTTCCATAAATCGCCGTTTTCTTGCGTTCTGGTGTATAGTCCCCCAAAGTAGATAGGATATGGCTTTGGGTATACTGTAATAAGATCCCCATATACCCCATATTCTATCTACTTAAGGGCGACTACAGGTGTGCTCGATCCGAGCAACCATTGAATCCAGAGCAGGTTGCAACTGGCCAGCCTCAACTCCTCCTTGGGCCGGAACCTTAAGCACCAATTCACCAAATTCGAAGGCATGTCTATCCAAGAGAGCTGAAGCACCTGACCACGCATGAAGAACGGCTCATGGCAGCTCTGCGCAACAGGGACCCGCACTTTGATCTGTTGGCGGCCAACTTTACCAATCACGTGATTCAGTCCGATTGTCTGGGGTGCATACTCGTACGATGAAGTTGTCCAAGCCGAAGATCGGCCCATCCGGGCAGTGGCCCCGGAACTGGTCAACTTCAGACGTGAACTGAGGCTTAAGCGATCCCCGAGTGAACAGCACAAGCATAGACTTCAAATCAGCAAATCACAAACACTGGGCATTGCAGGGCACTTCGCTGGGGGCAAGACGCATGCCACACGGTGCTCCCATTCTCCCGGCACCTGACTGCTTCCAGCGCTCCAAAAACTTCGCATACCAACCTCAAAGGACCCTCTGACCACAGCAAGGACAGGCCTCGTACTCCTTGGAGCTGTGGACCATGTTTCCACGAGTGTCCTGACAGAGAGCGCAGTTTGTCTTAATGTTGAATCCTGATTAGTGCGGGGGTCCCCAATAAATTGAAGTTCTTTGAAAATCCGCCGAGGCCGGAGGCATCAGACGTTCAGATCCAGGGCCGAAAGAAGAGAAGTTTAACCCACCCCCTACCCCCTCCCAATGCGCACGATGGGGGGGTGCGATCGGCTCCGTTTTCGTAGGTTCCCAGGAGGGTGGGGGGTGTCAGCGTGGTTTTCGGATTTCCGAACCCTCGCCGGGTCCGAAATGCAGAGTCCTCCGGTGTACCACGCCAAAACCGCGATTTTTAAGGGGGGGAGAGCGGGGGAGAGGGGGGACCGGGAAGAGATTTCGGGAAAGCTGGACGGCGAGAGCTGCGGTTCAGGTTGGGCGAGCGCTGTTCAAAACCAGGATGAAACAACGCTTACGTTCGGAGGTCAGAACTCTTTGACCACTTGCGCTCGAGCCCAGTCACTCAACTGCCAGCCCTATAGCCTCCACTACCTTTGCCGAGGCGGTCTCGCGCTAGCGAGAACATTATTCTGGACCCCCTATTCGATTTGGGGGGGGTCCCAATACAGTATCTTTTTTTCTGCCGGAAAATTTCTAGGAGATTATTTTGATGAGGCCAAAATGCCTCGGGCTTTAAAGCCACGCCTTTACATGAAAAGGACAGGCTCTATTGCCTCTCGAATCTGGAGAATGATGCCACCAAAAACAATCGATTTCTTATTGCACCGCTTGTTCGAACAGGCCAGGCAATCAAATTCCAAAGGGGGTAGTCCAGCAGAGCCCCTGATCCTCAATAATATGAATGATTCGGGGGGGCTCAATCATGTAAAGGTTTTTCGGCTGGTGTAGCGGTGGAGAGATGTCTTATGATTGTTTTTTCTGCCAGGCCTTTTATTAAGAAGGCCGAGGACCCTGCCCTTCCCATTCTCTTGAAAGTTAAACTGAGCAAGCCCTTGTGAATTTCATAGGAAGCCGAAGGATCCTTCTTTCGTTATTGATTCTAATAGGAGCCATAGCTTCTGAGATCAATTCCAGAATTTGTCTGATCCCTCCCCTTCCCTTATTCATCTCAATAGAAGCTGAAGGACACCTCTTCCCTTATTAGTTTTAGTAGGAGCCATAGGATCCCCCAGGACCCCCAATTCATTTCGATGACTTTTTATTATTGAGGCTCCCCTTTTGTTTGGGGGGGGTGGCCGCCCCACACTAATCAGGATCCAACATTCAGCCGGATCCCAAGCTCTTTGGACATACTGTACTCAGTGCACATGTCTCAAACGGAATCATCAAAACATGCGCCTGCTCTTTTCCTGAGGCGATGCAGCACAGCCCGGGTAAAACTCCTTCCCCCACTCATCCTGGGCCCGGAAGTCCGAAATGAACTCCCAAGATGGCAAGAAATCCCCTCAATTCTGCAGCATAACTTCCACAAGCCCTCTTTTGGGAAGATCCTGGAGCGCTCCAGGGCCGAAAACAATCTCGTAACTGGCACCTGGAATGGACACGCTTGTGGCCTTTCTGACTTTGAGGCTACGAGTTCCTGTCAGCTTCCAGCATGGGAGGATGAGTTCCGGGCCCATCTCGAGACTGATGGAAGGGCGAATCCTGACCTTGGGTGGGGGCATCAGATGCCACCAGGAGAAATATACGAAGGAATGGAACTTTTCGGACTTGCTTTTCTGACAAAGTCATGTTCAACGCATGTATTCAGCACCAGGCCATACCAGGAAAGTAGGAGAGCGGAATGGCATCAACAGCTGTATCCACAACCATTGCAGGACCTGCCACTTGCGCAGGCAGCATAAAGCCCACATCTGCAAACTAAAAGCGCCTCGCTCGCTGTCTGCCAGGCGCACCAAGGCAAGCGGTCCGGGGCCGCGAAGCGCCACCTTTATTCGGAAGGTGAGGGATCGGAACATTCCTTGAGCTAGGAAGCCTCCTGTGCTTGAAGTAAAATCCTTGAAAGGCATAATGTGAGGCCTCATCGAAGAGGAAGTTGAAGTCTGTCATCAACGTCAAGGCCCCACTGAGCCTTGGCATGGCACGCAGCAACAGCTAAAGCATGTCTACTCCACCTGCTTGGATTGCAGGAGCCGGCCCTCTTGGTGTTCGCATCTGCACCGTCCCAAACAACCTATCATCTGGCTTGCTACCTGACACTTGCTCTCCAGACCTAGTTCCAACTGCATCGCTCTTTTTTTGGATTCTGACATGGCTGAGAAGCGAAGTGCCCAAAGCTGTAACGCAAAAAACGAAACCTGGAGACGTGAGAAGCTAGCTCCGTGGCTCAGGTGATTCGGCTCAAACAAGCACAGAAACTTCAAGCTACTACCGAGGCAGGACCCTGGTGCGGTGCAAAGGATGCAAGCGTTCCACCTTTTTGCATAGCTGAAACTAACCCACAGCTCATTCGCTGTTCAGAGCCATTCGGCCGCATGAGGGTACTAGTTGTGAAGCACTGGTGGGCTTGAAGCCTTCACATGCCTATGCCGTAAAAGTCTGTGTGTCGGGTTGCTGGCTGTCGTTACGTTGCATGATTTCAGGAGACGACCCGCAGAACTCGCTGATGCAGGGAGCTGGCTTTGAATTGTACACGTTTAAACGAGCTGCTTCTGAGAAGTCTCCCGCATTCTCCCGCATCGAAAACTGGACAAAAAGCGTGCCCCCAGACAAAGCAACCATCATGTGGCCTCAACAGCAACTGGTTCTTGGACACATTTCAAAGGCGCGCGCAGCATGCGCTGGCATGCATACATTCTTGTCGTCTTGGTGACCTGGAATTTGTGCTGTTCATATGCGGCTTTGCCTCTTGGCCGATTGTTAAAAATCTCCCGCTGCGGCTGCCCTCCTTTCTTGGGCCCGGGTACATTCTTGTCGTCTTGGTGACCTGGAATTTGTGCTGTTCATATGCGGTTTTGCCTCTTGGCCAATTGTTAAAAATCTCCCGCTGCGGCTGCCCTCCTTTCTTGGGCCCGGGCGGATTGGTTGACGTGGCATCCAGAAGCCGCGGCCCTGAAAAGTCTTCCGTGGCCTCGGAGCTCCACAGGCAGGAACCCTCGAACATTTCAGCAGCTATCAAAACCGTGGGCTTCTCTGGGAGTGCTGCTGAATGCTGCCCCCTACGCTTTGGGGCCCTGAAAAGCTACACTCATCTCAATGATCACCTGCCTGTGAACTACTGGTAAAAGATTCTTGGGTGCAATTTTACTTTAATAATGGCCGCTTGAGTCTTGCACCGGCACGATGCCAGAACTACAGGGCATATCCCAGATGATCTTAGGAAAGCCATGCAGAGCTGAGTGCGCGATAAGGACTCTTTTGCAAAAAGGACGGGGCCCAAATTCAACAGACTCTTCCCTGTCGTCAGGCTACAGGTCTAGCTCAGAAAAGAGTCCTAAACAACCCAAAATGACAATTCATTCATGAAATCCACTTTAACCTCAAGCTTCCTAAACCGACTCAGTATCCATCAGACTCTGCCAAAGCCTGGAGATTTAGGCATACACTACTTCAGGGGCCATCGCGTTCTCCAGATCTTCGGTTCGCAGTCGTAAGCCGCGAGGCGGAGCGATCTGCCACAACAGCCAATGGGGGAGGAGTCCCAAAGCGATGGGACCCTTGTTGGGCGTTTTGTGCTAAAATTATGCTAGGAACATAATACTTATGACACATGAAAATGGATTCTCTACAGGCTGAGTTGCTCTTGAAGTGTCTCCAACCTTGGGGTTATTCTCGGGTAGAGGCACGCCCGAGGCTTAGGCTCTGGAGCGTTTGGGGTAGTGGAGGAGCGTTCATATGCATTCCTTCCAGGCAGCGGGGATGTTGCCAAAAAAGTATCCATAAAAAAGTAGACCTTCTTCCAGAAACGCAACCAAAAATTTGAAGCTCCCAGCCAACAAATACTCATCCAGGCGCAAGCTGAGCTTGTTTTGTCTCCTCTGCCGCTGGCTATGCAAACCAATATCCTGGACCCAAGCGGAAACGTCCGAGGCTTCCAGGGCAACCGCCTACCCCCCAGCAATGAAACCCCCCCCGGTTTTGGCGGTTCCTTCTGGGGGTCTACGGGACTTGTCAGATCTGATGGAGATAGATGGAGGCCCAAAGCAAGGGACCTTGTTTCCCGACCCGTATGCTGACTGCGGTTGAGAACCTTCAAAGCAAGCGATAATGTCGATTCCGAAGTCCTTGAGTGTCTACGCGTGTTGGCTCCATCTTTGCTCCTCAGACTTCACTCCGTTATCTAGGTGACAAGGCTCAGCTTGTTTCTCAAGATGTTTCGATTCCGCAGAGAGCGCCCTCTGCAATCTACCGGAGCCATGTTGGCTCTCAGTCAGCTAACTTGTCTGCTCCGTTTGGCAGGAGGTTCCGCGTCGTCCTTCGACTACGGCAGGATTGGTTAAGGCGATCAAGCAATAAGACCTTGATGAATTCTACTGCCAGCTGAGCGTCCTGTGCTTGCGCCTGCAAGCACTGAACATAGGTTTGCATTGTACCTTGCTGCGTGTGAATGGGAGGACATACTCACAAGGGATGTACCCAGTCAAGAGTCAATACAGTATCAGTGCAGGAAAGCCGCCCAAGTCCCAGCGCATTCCCTCGATGAGCACCCCAAACATACCTGCAACGGTGGCGATGCCGCCATGCTACTTCACGCTGGTTCCATACCTCACCTGTGCACCCTGAGCTTGCCAGGCCTTCGGACTGGCGCAGCTGGTCCAAGGCCTGGGTGAAGTGACCGGCCTCACAAACAGGCCGCAAGTAGAACAAGCAAACCCAGCTGCAACGCGACCGTTCCCTGCAAAAGCTGCAGGGGGGAGCCTTCGATGAGCGCAAAGCTCGGAAGATGCTGGAGGTCAGCACGTATTGACCAAACGAGGTCAGAAAGCTGCCTGCACTTGGAAAAACCAGCTTTCATGAGGTACTAGGCGTGTATCCCTCTCACCTTCTGGCAGGACGGGCGTCACCAAGTGCTCTTCCGCAAACTCCCTGGTCAGGGAAGCGCAAAGGATCTTTCTTCCGGCAACATCACAATCATACAGGGCAGGTATGAAGTTGAGGGGCCCTGGAGGCCCAGGCAGAAAGAAGTAAGGATGACAAGGGGATTATGCGGGGTCCTCACTCGGGATCATAAAGGGATGACGTTCAGAAATAACAACGTGCCCTGAGCCCGACACCTGGTTGGCTTCTCAGCCAAGCGAGCAAGCCTCAGTCTGAACAGGAAGTTTTCAAGGGCGGCAGCATGCAATGCAAAGACAAGACCACCCGCGATCAGAAAGACAAGTCCATAGTGAGCGCGTGCTTGATTGAGCTTTCGTGGAGGAGAGGAACGTCACAACCCAAGATTCTGCACTGCAGACCCAGACTGCCCCAAACCGGATCCGAGCCACGGCCACAGCGCCTTTGTATTTGTAGAAGCCGATGCTCGTGGCCCCAGTGGTGGGGGCAGCGGCGAGGGTGGCTCCTACAGTCAGACTCAAAGAGGCTTCTTCTGATGAGGCGTGAAAATGCGGTGGATGGTTGAAACTCCTTCAGTTATTAAGCAGGCTTCGCTAAACCACTAAGCCTGCCACTATGTTCCAGCAAGTTGCTCAGGAGTCCTTGCAACTGTAGACGCCAGTCTGGTGTAGCCTTGTTTTTCCAAGCTCGAGCTCTGCTTCACAAGTATCTGAATCCAAACGTCAATCTTGATCTTCTTAAGTTGGGATCAGAGCAAACTGAGCCAGTAGCGAGTCCTTGTCCACGCAATGCATCGCAGCCTGGACTCAACCAACTGCGTAGCACCTCCCTATCGAGTAGCTCCTAAAAGCACCAACACCCTGAGATCCCCACCAAAGGTCTTCCATTGAAAGCCTCCAGGAGCTGGGCCACAACACTCCGATTCTCCTTCAGTCAGCATTCAGTCAGCGTTCAGCAGTGCCTAGCTGGGAATGGAAGGAGTGGATCCCCGTTCTGACGCCTCTAATGCCCCCTAAAGTCCACCGAAGCATTAGTAACATGTTGCAAGGTCCAACGCAACGCGGAAGCCTGGCTGGCAATCAAGCGTGTGAACTCTCTCAGTGACACGCTGGCGACGTCGACCGACTGAAATGGTCGCCCCATGCCAGGAGAAAGGGCTCTCCCGAGACCTTGCAACATGTGAGAACAGCAAGTGTCAGCTCTGAATGCATGCCATGTGCGCTGTGACAAGCGTCATACTCCCATCAGAAAACCCCGGCCTCGCGCTCGCAGAGAAGCAGCGCATCGCGGATGCCGGATGGCTTTTCCTTCCGACCGCTGAAGTTTACCATAAATCATCACACCAAACCAACTCTAGACTCTAGCAGAGGCTTTGCCCATGAAGGATAAAGTCACACCATTCATCTTACTTGACAGGCCTGGCGCACGAATGTCATCCTCTTGCCTGCAAGGCAGGCTGCAGCACAACGACCACCCCAATATACCCCAATGCCCAACAGCAAAAACTCAGCTCATGTCACAATGATAGGATCGCAACCCTGCACCTCCGGCACATGCGACAGGCAGGCCTAATGAAAGGAGGACCTCGTCGTAGTCCTTGCACATGAGCACAAGCAAAACTGTTCCCTGCACAGAATGCAGACTGCCACGCTGGCTTCACAAAATGAAGGGAAATGTCCTCCACCTGCTGCCCCACCGCATTCAACACGGACACCTTCAAATATTTCCCAAGCCAGGATTCAGATGCATCTCATGCACCAGAGCTTGCTGCGTGATGCCGCACACTGGATTTCACAGAAGTTGGGGTTCCGGAGCAAGAGTGACAACCAGACATGACTCCCTGAATCCTCAAACTGCCAAACCTCCTCCCTCTGTTTGAAGAGCTTTGTCATCTCCACTTCGGTGGTGTGGTTCACGACCAAGAGGATCTTTTCCTTGGGGCCCAATCCTGCCCTGAGGCTGAGGAAGGTTGTGAATGACTGGCCGAGCTTCAATTCCCGCAGCAATCATCTCCTCACAAAGCCTAGGAGCAGACAAGATGAAATGCAGAAAATGATGTCACCAGCATTAGTGCCAGGTAAGCTGCCATGCAATGGCTGGCTTCACAAGCCCACGGCTGCGCACAGGGAAGAGCCACCTCGCGTGAAAGTGAAAGACGCAACTGGCCTTTGGTTAGCTGGGAATGGAAAAGAACGTGGTAACCGCTATAATGGGTTATACAGGGACTACTATATAACCCATTATAGTTGTTTGCAACCCAGGTGCGGCCCAACGCACTTTGTAGCGGGCCATATGCCAGGACAGGCACCTCCCAACAGGAGCTGGAGGGGGTTCTGATTAGATGATATCCTCACATGCTGCTGCGGACCTGCAATGGGAATAATTGCGGTGCGGACCGCCTTCTGCCTCGCCATGCCCCAGCCAAAGCTACAGTCACAGCCACACAAGAATCCATCGAGACAACCCCCCAGCATGCTGCGCACGTGGGATTTGATACATGGGCTGCATCCGAGCTATAGTCTAAACTCCTAGCATCCCCCTTAATAACCCCTAGAGTAATCCCCTGTATAGTCCCCCCCCTTTAAGGAGTAGTTAGACTATAGCTCATCAGAGAAGGACGCTGCTATGTTGAGGCCCAGGCTCGGGGATGGTAAGCTTTAGAGGCTCCATGCCCAAGGACTTCACAATCTTCACCACCTCCTCCTGGGTCAACGGCCATTGGGGCTATATTGGGCTTATTTAGGGGATAATGGAAAGGAAAATGGAAACTACAATAATGTAATTGGGTTATCTAGGGGTATATGTTGGGTTTACGGAACGCTTTAGCAGTAGCATGCTGTAGAGACGCATGGAGCCATCGGTTGATACATACTGATACCAGACCAGGATTCAAGAGATAAGACGAGAATTCCCGCCCCACATGACAGCATTTGCAAAATGAGTGAGAGAGCATTGCTCGACAATAAAACAATTCCACTGTGTTCCTGCCAGGCCAGCCAAGATCCTGCACCCGCCAGCAGCTTCCAAAAAACAAACTCTAGCGGCCACTGTCCTCCCTAGAAACCGCCTAGAAAAAAGCGGTCTCCAGTTGGTAGTTTCTCTAAATAGGGGGACCCCAATATAGACCCCAAAATACTATAGTCCTTATTATATGGACCCCCATAAGGGTACCCCTAAATTTTGGGAAACCCAAATCCCTATAATCCCCTATATAA